TGTCCAAACAGTTCAAACTTAGCCTCACGAGTTTTCCATCGGCTTTTATCACACTAATACCGTTTCATGTATGCCGACTCTAGTTGGCCCGTGTCTTCTTGACAAACTATGAAGGTAGATTTTGAGAGCCCAAACTACCTTTTTCACAAAAATAGCTCATAAGTCATGGCTTATAGCTATGAGTTTTGGTCGTTGGCCCGTTTCACATCGAACTAGGTCCAAACTACTCAAACCTAGCTCGACGAGTTTTTCCTTTAGTTTTTATCACACTCATACCGTTTCACGTATTCCATGCCCAGTTGGCCCGTATCTTCTTAAAAAACGATGAAGGCTGATTTTGAGGGCTCAAACTATATTTTTTCACCAAAATAACTCATATGTCAAGGCTTATGGCTATGACTTTTGGTCGTTGGCCCGTTTTGGATAGAACTAGGTCCAAACCGATCAAACCTAGCTCGACGGTTTTTTCATCGGCTTTTATCACACTCATATCGTTTCACGTATTCCATGTCCATTTGGCCCGTATCTTCTTAAAAAACGATGAACGCCGATTTTGAGGGCCCAAACTACATTTTTTCACCAAAATAACTCATAAGTCATGGCTTATAGCTATGAGTTTTGGTCATTGGCTCTGTCTCGGATAGAACTAGGTCCAAACAGACTCAAACATAGCTCGATATTTTTTCCTTCGGCTTTTATCACACTCATACCGCTTCACGTATTCCAACTCTAGTTGGCCCGTATCTTCTTGATAAACTATGAATGCTGATTTTGAGGGCTCAAACTATATTTTTTCACCAAAATAACTCATATGTCATGGCTTATGGATATGACTTTTGGTCGTTGTGCCGTTTCGGATAGAACTAGGTCCAAAAAGTTCAAACCTACCACGACGGTTTCTCCATCAATTTTGATCACACTCATACCGTTTCACGTATTCCATGTCCAGATTGGCCCGTATCTTATTAAAAAACGATGAAGGCGGATTTTGAGAGCTCAAACTATATTTTTTCACCAAATAACTCATATATCAAGGCTTATAGCTATGACTTTTGGTCGTTGGCCCGTTTCGGATAGAACTAGGTCCACACGGCTCAAACCTAGGCTGGACGGTGTTTCCATCGGTTTTCATCTCACTCATACCGTTTCACGTTTTCCATGTCCAGTTGGCCGTATCTTCTTAAAAAACGATGAAGGTTGATTTTGAGAAACTACATTTTTTCACCAAAATAACTTATAAGTCATGGCTTATAGTTATGACTTTTGGTCGTTGGCCCGTTTCGGATGGAACTATGTCCAAACAAGTTCAAACCTAGCCTCGCAGCTTTTCCATCGGCTTTTATCACACTAATACCGTTTCACGTATGCCAACTCTAGTTGGCCCGTCTCTTCTTGACAAACTATGAAGGTAGATTTTGAGAGCCCAAACTACCTTTTTCACAAAAATAGCTCATAAGTCATGGCTTATAGCTATGAGTTTTGGTCGTTGGCCCGTTTCACATCGAACTAGGTCCAAACTACTCAAACCTAGCTCGACAGCTTTTCCATCGGTTTTATCACACTCGTACCGTTTCACGTATTCCATGCCCAGTTGGCCGGTATCTTCTTAAAAAACGATGAAGGCTGATTTTGAGGCCTCGAACTGTATTTTTTCACCAAAATAACTCATATGTCAAGGCTTATGGCTATGACTTTTGGTCGTCGGCCCGTTTTGGATAGAACTAGGTCCAAACCGATCAAACCTAGCTCGACGGTTTTTCATCGGTTTTATCACACTCATATTGTTTCACGTATTCCATGTCCATTTGGCCCGTATCTTCTTAAAAAACGATGAACGCCGATTTTGAGGGCCCAAACTACATTTTTTCACCAAAATAACTCATCAGTCATGGCTTATAGCTATGAGTTTTGGTCATTGGCACGTCTCGGATAGAACTAGGTCCAAACATCTCAAACATAGCTCGATATTTTTTCCTTCGGTTTTTATCACACTCATACCGCTTCACGTATTCAAACTCTAGTTGGCCCGTATCTTCTTGATAAACTATGAAGGTCGATTTTGAGGGCTCAAACTATATTTTTTCACCAAAATAACTCATATGTCATGGATTATGGATATGACTTTTGGTCGTTGGGCCGTTTCGGATAGAACTAGGTCCAAAAAGCTCAAACCTACCACGACAGTTTCTCCATCAATTTTGATCACACTCATACCGTTTCACGTATTCCATGTCCAGTTGGCCGTATCTTATTAAAAAACGATGAAGGCTAATTTTGAGAGCCCAAACTATATTTTTTCACCAAAATAACTCATATATCAAGGCTTATAGCTACGACTTTTGGTCGTTGGCCCGTTTCGAGATAGAGCGGGTCCACACGGCTCAAACCTAGTCTGGACGGTTTTTCCATCGGTTTTCATCTCACTCATATCGTTTCACGTTTTCCATGTCCAGTTGGCCGTATCTTCTTAAAAAACGATGAAGGTTGATTTTGAGAAACTACATTTTTTCACCAAAATAACTTATATGTCATGGCTTATAGCTATGAGTTTTGGTCGTTGGCCGTTTCGGATGGAACTATGTCCAAACAGTTCAAACTTAGCCTCACGGTTTTTCCATCGGCTTTTATCACACTAATACCGTTTCATGTATGCCGGCTCTAGTTGGCCCGTGTCTTCTTGACAAACTATGAAGGTAGATTTTGAGAGCCCAAACTACCTTTTTCACAAAAATAGCTCATAAGTCATGGCTTATAGCTATGAGTTTTGGTCGTTGGCCGTTTCACATCGAACTAGGTCCAAACTACTCAAACCTAGCTCGACGAGTTTTTCCTTTAGTTTTTATCACACTCATACCGTTTCACGTATTCCATGCCCAGTTGGCCCGTATCTTCTTAAAAAACGATGAAGGCTGATTTTGAGGGCTCAAACTATATTTTTTCACCAAAATAACTCATATGTCAAGGCTTATGGCTATGACTTTTGGTCGTTGGCCCGTTTTGGATAGAACTAGGTCCAAGCCGATCAAACCTAGCTCGACAGTTTTTTCATCGGCTTTTATCACACTCATATCGTTTCACGTATTCCATGTCCATTTGGCCCGTATCTTCTTAAAAAACGATGAACGCCGATTTTGAGGGCCCAAACTACATTTTTTCACCAAAATAACTCATAAGTCATGGCTTATAGCTATGAGTTTTGGTCATTGGCACTGTCTCGGATAGAACTAGGTCCAAACGGCTCAAACATAGCTCGATATTTTTTCCTTCGAGTTTTTATCACACTCATACCGCTTCACGTATTCCAACTCTAGTTGGCCCGTATCTTCTTGATAAACTATGAAGGCTGATTTTGAGGGCTCAAACTATATTTTTTCACCAAAATAACTCATATGTCATGGCTTATGGATATGACTTTTGGTCGTTGTGCCGTTTCGGATAGAACTAGGTCCAAAAAGTTCAAACCTACCACGACAGTTTCTCCATCAATTTTGATCACACTCATACCGTTTCACGTATTCCATGTCCAGTTGGCCCGTATCTTATTAAAAAACGATGAAGGCTGATTTTGAGAGCTCAAACTATATTTTTTCACCAAATAACTCATATATCAAGGCTTATAGCTATGACTTTTGGTCGTTGGCCCGTTTCGGATAGAACTAGGTCCACACGGCTCAAACCTAGCCGGACGAGTGTTTCCATCGGTTTTCATCTCACTCATACCGTTTCACGTTTTCCATGTCCAGTTGGCCCGTATCTTCTTAAAAAACGATGAAGGTTGATTTTGAGAAACTACATTTTTTCACCAAAATAACTTATAAGTCATGGCTTATAGTTATGACTTTTGGTCGTTGGCCGTTTCGGATGGAACTATGTCCAAACGAGTTCAAACCTAGCCTCGCAGCTTTTCCATCGGTTTTATCACACTAATACCGTTTCACGTATGCCAACTCTAGTTGGCCCGTCTCTTCTTGACAAACTATGAAGGTAGATTTTGAGAGCCCAAACTACCTTTTTCACAAAAATAGCTCATAAGTCATGGCTTATAGCTATGAGTTTTGGTCGTTGGCCCGTTTCACATCGAACTAGGTCCAAACTACTCAAACCTAGCCGACGAGCTTTTCCATCGGCTTTTATCACACTCGTACCGTTTCACGTATTCCATGCCCGAGTTGGCCGGTATCTTCTTAAAAAACGATGAAGGCTGATTTTGAGGCCTCAAGCTGTATTTTTTCACCAAAATAACTCATATGTCAAGGCTTATGGCTATGACTTTTGGTCGTCGGCCCGTTTTGGATAGAACTAGGTCCAAAGCCGATCAAACCTAGCTCGACGGTTTTTTCATCGGCTTTTATCACACTCATATTGTTTCACGTATTCCATGTCCATTTGGCCCGTATCTTCTTAAAAAACGATGAACGCCGATTTTGAGGGCCCAAACTACATTTTTTCACCAAAATAACTCATCAGTCATGGCTTATAGCTATGAGTTTTGGTCATTGGCCTGTCTCGGATAGAACTAGGTCCAAACATCTCAAACATAGCTCGATATTTTTTCCTTCGGCTTTTATCACACTCATACCGCTTCACGTATTCAAACTCTAGTTGGCCCGTATCTTCTTGATAAACTATGAAGGTCGATTTTGAGGGCTCAAACTATATTTTTTCACCAAAATAACTCATATGTCATGGATTATGGATATGACTTTTGGTCGTTGGGCCGTTTCGGATAGAACTAGGTCCAAAAAGCTCAAACCTACCCCGACAGTTTCTCCATCAATTTTGATCACACTCATACCGTTTCACGTATTCCATGTCCAGTTGGCCCGTATCTTATTAAAAAACGATGAAGGCTAATTTTGAGAGCCCAAACTATATTTTTTCACCAAAATAACTCATATATCAAGGCTTATAGCTACGACTTTTGGTCGTTGGCCCGTTTCGAATAGAGCCGGGTCCACACGGCTCAAACCTAGTCGGACGGTTTTCCATCGGTTTTCATCTCACTCATATCGTTTCACGTTTTCCATGTCCAGTTGGCCGTATCTTCTTAAAAAACGATGAAGGTTGATTTTGAGAAACTACATTTTTTCACCAAAATAACTTATATGTCATGGCTTATAGCTATGAGTTTTGGTCGTTGGCCGTTTCGGATGGAACTATGTCCAAACAAGTTCAAACTTAGCCTCACAGCTTTTCCATCGGCTTTTATCACACTAATACCGTTTCATGTATGCCAACTCTAGTTGGCCCGTGTCTTCTTGACAAACTATGAAGGTAGATTTTGAGAGCCCAAACTACCTTTTTCACAAAAATAGCTCATAAGTCATGGCTTATAGCTATGAGTTTTGGTCGTTGGCCGTTTCACATCGAACTAGGTCCAAACTACTCAAACCTAGCTCGACGAGTTTTTCCTTCGGCTTTTATCACACTCATACCGTTTCACGTATTCCATGCCCGATTGGCCCGTATCTTCTTAAAAAACGATGAAGGCTGATTTTGAGGGCTCAAACTATATTTTTTCACCAAAATAACTCATATGTCAAGGCTTATGGCTATGACTTTTGGTCGTTGGCCCGTTTTGGATAGAACTAGGTCCAAGCCGATCAAACCTAGCCCGACAGCTTTTTCATCGGTTTTTATCACACTCATATTGTTTCACGTATTCCATGTCCATTTGGCCCGTATCTTCTTAAAAAACGATGAACGCCGATTTTGAGGGCCCAAACTACATTTTTTCACCAAAATAACTCATAAGTCATGGCTTATAGCTATGAGTTTTGGTCATTGGCCTGTCTCGGATAGAACTAGGTCCAAACAGACTCAAACATAGCTCGATATTTTTTCCTTCGGTTTTTATCACACTCATACCGCTTCACGTATTCCAACTCTAGTTGGCCCGTATCTTCTTGATAAACTATGAAGGTCGATTTTGAGGGCTCAAACTATATTTTTTCACCAAAATAACTCATATGTCATGGCTTATGGATATGACTTTTGGTCGTTGGGCCGTTTCGGATAGAACTAGGTCCAAAAAGTTCAAACCTACCCCGACAGTTTCTCCATCAATTTTGATCACACTCATACCGTTTCACGTATTCCATGTCCAAGTTGGCCCGTATCTTATTAAAAAACGATGAAGGCGGATTTTGAGAGCTCAAACTATATTTTTTCACCAAATAACTCATATATCAAGGCTTATAGCTATGACTTTTGGTCGTTGGCCCGTTTCGGATAGAACTAGGTCCACACGGCTCAAACCTAGGCTGGACGAGTTTTTCCATCGGTTTTCATCTCACTCATACCGTTTCACGTTTTCCATGTCCAGTTGGCCGTATCTTCTTAAAAAACGATGAAGGTTGATTTTGAGAAACTACATTTTTTCACCAAAATAACTTATAAGTCATGGCTTATAGCTATGACTTTTGGTCGTTGGCCGTTTCGGATGGAACTATGTCCAAACGAGTTCAAACCTAGCCTCGCAGTTTTTCCATCGGTTTTTATCACACTAATACCGTTTCACGTATGCCAACTCTAGTTGGCCCGTCTCTTCTTGACAAACTATGAAGGTAGATTTTGAGAGCCCAAACTACCTTTTTCACAAAAATAGCTCATAAGTCATGGCTTATAGCTATGAGTTTTGATCGTTGGCCCGTTTCACATCGAACTAGGTCCAAACTACTCAAACCTAGCTCGACAGTTTTTCCATCGGTTTTTATCACACTCATACCGTTTCACGTATTCCATGCCCAGGTTGGCCGGTATCTTCTTAAAAAACGATGAAGGCTGATTTTGAGGCCTCAAACTGTATTTTTTCACCAAAATAACTCATATGTCAAGGCTTATGGCTATGACTTTTGGTCGTCGGCCCGTTTTGGATAGAACTAGGTCCAAACCGATCAAACCTAGCTCGACAGTTTTTTCATCGGCTTTTATCACACTCATATTGTTTCACGTATTCCATGTCCATTTGGCCCGTATCTTCTTAAAAAATGATGAACGCCGATTTTGAGGGCCCAAACTACATTTTTTCACCAAAATAACTCATCGGTCATGGCTTATAGCTATGAGTTTTGGTCATTGGCCTGTCTCGGATAGAACTAGGTCCAAACATCTCAAACATAGCTCGATATTTTTTCCTTCGGTTTTTATCACACTCATACCGCTTCACGTATTCAAACTCTAGTTGGCCCGTATCTTCTTGATAAACTATGAAGGCTGATTTTGAGGGCTCAAACTATATTTTTTCACCAAAATAACTCATATGTCATGGATTATGGATATGACTTTTGGTCGTTGGGCCGTTTCGGATAGAACTAGGTCCAAAAAGCTCAAACCTACCCCGACAGTTTCTCCATCAATTTTGATCACACTCATACCGTTTCACGTATTCCATGTCCAGTTGGCCCGTATCTTATTAAAAAACGATGAAGGCTAATTTTGAGAGCCCAAACTATATTTTTTCACCAAAATAACTCACATATCAAGGCTTATAGCTACGACTTTTAGTCGTTGGCCCGTTTCGAATAGAGCCGGGTCCACACGGCTCAAACCTAGCTGGGACGGTTTTCCATCGGTTTTCATCTCACTCATATCGTTTCACGTTATCCATGTCTAGTTGGCCGTATCTTCTTAAAAAACGATGAAGGTTGATTTTGAGAAACTACATTTTTTCACCAAAATAACTTATAAGTCATGGCTTATAGCTATGACTTTTGATCGTTGGCCGTTTCGGATGGAACTATGTCCAAACAAGTTCAAACCTAGCCTCGGTTTTTCCATCGGTTTTATCAAACTAATACCGTTTCACGTATGCCAACTCTAGTTGGCCGGGTTTTCTTGTCAAACTATGAAGGTAGATTTTGAGAGCCCAAACTACCTTTTTCACAAAAATAGCTCATAAGTCATGGCTTATAGCTATGAGTTTTGGTCGTTGGCCCGTTTCACATCGAACTAGGTCCAAACTACTCAAACCTAGCTCGACGAGTTTTCCATCGGCTTTTATCACACTCATACCGTTTCACGTATTCCATGCCCAGTTGGCCCGTATCTTCTTAAAAAACGATGAAGGCTGATTTTGAGGGCTCAAACTATATTTTTTCACCAAAATAACTCATATGTCAAGGCTTATGGCTATGACTTTTGGTCGTTGGCCCGTTTTGGACGGAACTAGGTCCAAGCCGATCAAACCTAGCCTCGATAGTTTTTTCATCGGTTTTATCACACTCATATTGTTTCACGTATTCCATGTCCATTTGGCCCGTATCTTCTTAAAAAACGATGAACGCCGATTTTGAGGGCCCAAACTACATTTTTTCACCAAAATAACTCATAAGTCATGGCTTATAGCTATGAGTTTTGGTCATTGGCTGTCTCGGATAGAACTAGGTCCAAACAGACTCAAACATAGCTCGATATTTTTTCCTTCGGCTTTTATCACACTCATACCGCTTCACGTATTCCAACTCTAGTTGGCCCGTATCTTCTTGATAAACTATGAAGGCTGATTTTGAGGGCTCAAACTATATTTTTTCACCAAAATAACTCATATGTCATGGCTTATGGATATGACTTTTGGTCGTTGGGCCATTTCGGATAGAACTAGGTCCAAAAAGCTCAAACCTACCCCGATAGTTTCTCTATCAATTTTGATCACACTCATACTCGTTTCACTTATTCCATGTCCAGTTGGCCCGTATCTTATTAAAAAACGATGAACGCCGATTTTGAGAGCCCAAACTATATTTTTTCACCAAAATAACTCATATATCAAGGCTTATAGCTATGACTTTTGGTCGTTGGCCCGTTTCGGATAGAACTAGGTCCACACGGCTCGAACCTAGCTGGACGAGTTTTTCCTTCGGCTTTTATCACACTCATATCGTTTCACGTATTCCAACTCTAGTTGGCTCGTATCTTCTTGACAAACTATAAAGGCGGATTCTAAGAGCCCAAACTACCTTTTTCACAAAAATAACTCATAAATCATGGCTTATAGCTATGAGTTTTGGTCGTTGGTCCGTTTCGCATAGAACTAGGTCCAAACGGACTCAAACCTAGCTCGACGAGTTTTTCCTTCACTTTTTATCACACTCATACCGTTTCACGTATTCCAACTCTAGTTGGCTTCGTATCTTCTTGACAAACTATAAAGGTAGATTCCGAGAGCCCAAACTACCTTTTTCACAAAAATAACTCATAAATCATGGCTTATAGCTATGAGTTTTCGTCGTTGGCCCGTTTTGCATAGAACTAGGTCCTAACAGACTCAAACCTAGCCCGATAGTTTTTCCATCGGCTTTTATCGCACTCATACCGTTTCACGTATTCCATGTCCAGTTCGCCCGTATCTTCTTAAAAAACGTTGAAGGCTGATTTTGAGGGCTCAAACTATATTTTTTCATCAAAATAACTCATATGTCATGGCTTATGGATATGACTTTTGGTCGTTGGGCCATTTCGGATAGAACTAGGTCCAAAAAGCTCAAACCTACCCCGATAGTTTCTCCATCAATTTTGATCACACTCATACCGTTTCACATATTCCATGTCCAAGTTGGCCCGTATCTTATTAAAAAACGATGAAGGCTGATTTTGAGAGCCCAAACTATATTTTTTCACCAAATAACTCATATATCAAGGCTTATAGCTATGACTTTTGGTCGTTGGCCCGTTTCGGATAGAACTAGGTCCACACAGCTCAAACCTAGTCGGACAGCTTTTCCATCGGTTGTCATGACACTCATACCGTTTCACGTATTCCATGTCCAGTTGGCCCGTATCTTCTTAAAAAACGATGAAGGTTGATTTTGAGAAACTACATTTTTTCACCAAAATAACTTATAAGTCATGGCTTATAGCTATGACTTTTGGTCGTTGGTCCGTTTCGGATGGAACTATGTCCAAACAGTTCAAACCTAGCCTCACAGTTTTTCCATCGCTTTTATCACACTAATACCGTTTCACGTATGCCAACTCTAGTTGGCCCGTGTCTTCTTGACAAACTATGAAGGTAGATTTTGAGAGCCCAAACTACCTTTTTCACAAAAATAGCTCATAAGTCATGGCTTATAGCTATGAGTTTTGGTCGTTGGCCCGTTTCACATCGAACTAGGTCCAAACTACTCAAACCTAGCCTCGACAGCTTTTTCATCGGCTTTTATCACACTCATACCGTTTCACGTATTCCATGCCCAAGTTGGCCCGTATCTTCTTAAGAAACGATGAAGGCCGATTTCGAGGGCTCAAACTACATTTTTTCACCAAAATAACTCATATGTCAAGGCTTATAGCCATGATTTTTGGTCGTTGGCCCGTTTTAGAGAGAACTAGGTCCAAACAGACTCAAACCTAGCTCGACAGCTTTTTCATCAGCTTTTATCACACTCATATTGTTTCACGTATTCCATGTCGAGTTGGCCCATATCTACTTGAAAAACGATGAAGGCTAATTTTGAGGGCCCAAACTATATTTTTTCCCAAAAATAACTCATAAGTCATGGCTTATAGCTATAACTTTAGATCGTTGGCCCGTTTCGGATAGAACAAGGTCCAAACAGACTCAAATCTAGCTCGATAGTTTTTCCTTCAGCTTTTATCACACTTATACCATTTCATGTATTCCAACTCCAGTTATCCCGTATCTTCTTGAAAAACTATGAAGGCTGATTTTGAGAGCCAAAACTACCTTTTTCCACCAAATTAACTCATAAGTCATGGCTTATAGCGATGAGCTTTTTTCGTTAGCCCGTTTCTCACCGAAGTAGGTCCAAACAACTCAAACCTAGCCCGATAGTTTTTCGTTAGTTTTTATCACTCTCATACGAGTTTGACGTATTCCATGTCCAAGTTGGCCCGTATCTTCTTAAAAAACGATGAATGATGATTTTGAGGGCCCAAACTACATTTTTTCACCAAAATAACTCATAAGTCATGGCTTATAGCCATGACTTTTGGTCATTGGCCCGTTTCGGATAGAACTATGTCCAAACAGACTCAAACATAGCTCGACAGACTTTTCAATCGGCTTTTATCACACTAATACCGTTTCACGTATGCCAACCGTAGTTTGCCCGTATCTTCTTGACAAACTATGAAGGCGGATTCCGAGAGCCCAAACTACCTTTTTCACAAAAATAACTCATAAATCATGGCTTATAGCTATGAGTTTTGGTCGTTGGCCCATTTCGCATAGAACTAGGTCCTAACGACTCAAACCTAGCCTCGATAGTTTTTCCATTAGTTTTTATCGCACTCATACCGTTTCACATATTCCATGTCCAAGTTGGCCCGTATTTTCTTAAAAAACGATGAAGGCCGATTTTGAGGGCTCAAACTATATTTTTTCACCAAAATAACTCATATGTCATGGCTTATGGATATGACTTTTGGTCGTTGGGCCATTCCGGATAGAACTAGGTCCAAAAAGCTCAAACCTACCCCGATAGTTTCTCCATCAATTTTGATAACACTCATACTCGTTTCACGTATTCCATATCCAGTTGGCCCGTATCTTATTAAAAAACGATGAACGCCGATTTTGAGAGCCCAAACTATATTTTTTCACCAAAATAACTCATATATCAAGGCTTATAGCTATGACTATTGGTCGTTGGCCCGTTTCGGATAGAACTAGGTCCACACAGCTCGAACCTAGCTGGACAGTTTTTCCTTCAGCTTTTATCACACTCATACCATTTCACGTATTCCAACTCTAGTTGGCTTCGTATCTTCTTGACAAACTATAAAGGCGGATTCTAAGAGCCCAAACTACCTTTTTCACAAAAATAACTCATAAATCATGGCTTATAACTTTGAGTTTTGGTCGTTGGCCCGTTTCGCATAGAACTAGGTCCACACGACTCGAACCTAGCTGGACGAGCTTTTCCTTCAGCTTTTATCACACTCATACCGTTTCACGTATTCCAACTCTAGTTGGCTTCGTATCTTCTTGACAAACTATAAAGGCGGATTCTAAGAGCCCAAACTACCTTTTTCACAAAAATGACTCATAAATCATGGCTTATAGCTATGAGTTTTGGTCGTTGGCCCGTTTCGCATAGAACTAGGTCCAAACAGACTCAAACCTAGCTCGACAGCTTTTCCTTCGGCTTTTATCACACTCATACCGTTTCACGTATTCCAACTCTAGTTGGCTTCGTATCTTCTTGACAAACTATAAAGGCAGATTCCGAGAGCCCAAACTACCTTTTTCACAAAAATAACTCATAAATCATGGCTTATAGCTATGAGTTTTGGTCGTTGGCTCGTTTTGCATAGAACTAGGTCCTAACGACTCAAACCTAGCCCGATAGTTTTTCCATCGGCTTTTATCGCACTCATACCGTTTCACGTATTCCATGTCCAAGTTGGCCCGTATCTTATTAAAAAACGATGAACGCCGATTTTGAGAGCCCAAACTATATTTTTTCACCAAAATAACTCATATATCAAGGCTTATAGCTATGACTTTTGGTCGTTGGCCCGTTTCGGATAGAACTAGGTCCACACAACTCAAACCTAGCCGGACGAGTTTTCCATCGGTTTTCATCACACTCATACCGTTTCACGTATTCCATGTCTAGTTGGCCCGT